CGTGGCAGCTTGTAGCACACACCAAGCAGCTAGCTAGCTAGCTAGCTAGCTAGCTAGCTAGCTAGCTAGCAGCACCGAGCGACAAGCTAGCTAGCTAGCTGGCTAGCGATAGCTAGCAGTCAAGCAGCTGGTCTGTGTGGTGTAGTGGGTGCAGCAGCTGTATAGACAGTCGGTGTTGAGGGTTTAGGGTTTAGGGTTTAGGGTTTAGGGTTTAGAGTAAACATATGATGTCCCCGCATGGATTCAGGTGTATACGCAGCTCATTTCAGGTGTACGTGCAGCTCATTTCAGGTGTATACGCAGCTCAAATGAGGTGTATGCGCAGCTCTCCCAGGAAACGCACAGCTGCTGCGTACAGAGAACATATTTTTTTTTTCTGTTTTTTTTTCAGGTGTACATACACCTCTTCTATTGTATAGCAGTAAGCTGAGGTGTACATACACCGCGCCTCCAGTCTCCTCACAGCTTGCTACGGTGTACATACACCTGCTCAGGGTGTACATACAGCTGGTTTGGGTGTATATACACGGGTGTAAATGCAGCTTGCTTGGCTGTACATACAGGTGGTTTAGGTGTACATGCAGCTGGTTTAGGTGTACATGCAGCTGGTTTCGGTGTACGTACAGCTGCTCTGGCTGTGCATACAGCAACGCCTCAGCTGTAAGTATCATCGCTTGCGGTGTACATACAGCTGTTCCGGGTGTATATGCAGCTGTTTCGGGTGTACATACAGCTGGTTTGGGTGTACATACAGCTGATTTAGATGTAAATACAGCCGGTTGGGGTGTATATACAGCTTGTTTAGGTGTATATACAGCTGGTTTGGGTGTACGCACCGCCGGTTGGGGTGTACATACAGCTGTTTCGGGTGTACATACAGCTGGTTGGGGTGTACATGCAGCTGGTTGGGGTGTACATACAGCTGGTTGGGGTGTACATGCAGCTGGTTGGGGTGTACCCATAGCTGTGTTAGTTCGTATATACAGTTGTTTTGGGTGTATATACAGCTTGTTAGGGTGTACATAGAGGTGTTCTGTGTGTATATACTGCTTATTTGTGTATATAAGCAGCTGGCTGGGGTGTACACACCGCCGTTTGGGGTGTACAAGCAGCTGGTTGTGGTGTACAGGCAGCTGTTTTCCTTATACATACAGCTGATTTGGGTGTACATGCAGCTATTTCGGGTGTACATGCAGCTATTTCGGGTGTACATGCAGCTATTTGGGGTGTACATGCAGCTATTTCGGGTGTACAGGCAGCTATTTCGGGTGTACAGGCAGCTGTTCGGGGTGTACAGGCAGCTGTTTGGGGTGTATAGACAGCTCTTTGGGGTGTACAGGCAGCTGTTTGGGGTGTACTCGCAGCTATATGGGGTGTACATGCAACTATTTCGGGTGTATAGGCAGCTATTTCGGGTGTATATGCAGCTTTTTGGGGTGTATAGACAGCTGTTTTGTTTGGTTCACAGCACCAGCTGCCACTGGTCTCCCTCGTGGCCTCCTTCTAATTCAGAAGGAAGCGCAGCGGTGCCTAGGTGAGACTGCAACCACACAACACACACATTATATATATATATATATATATATATATATATATATATATTTATATATATTTATATAAATTGTTATATATATTTATATATATTTATGTAAATTTTTATATATATTTATATATGTTTATATATCGATATACAGATATGTAACGTTTACTGTCTGAGAATGAACTCCTTTTGTGTGTCTACGCTCGCGCATGTGTTGGGGTGTACAGGCAGGTTCTGGGGTGTACAAGCAGGTGCTGCGGTGTATGTGTATGGGTATGTGTTGGGGTGTATATGTTTGTGTTGCGATCTGTATATGTCTGTGTTGGGGTGTATGCGTTGGGGTGTATAGGCAGGTGTTGGGGTGTATACCCAGGTGCTGGGGTGTATACACAGAAGCTGGTGTGTATACGCAGGCGCTGGGGTGTACACGCAGGTGCTGGGGTGCCTGTGCTGGGGTGTACACGCAGGTGTTGGGGTGCCTGTGCTGGGGTGTACACGCAGGTGCTGGGGTGTATACACAGGTGCTGGGGTGTATACACAGGTGCTGGGGTGTATACACAGAAGCTGGGGTGTATACACAGAAGCTGGGGTGTATACACAGAAGCTGGGGTGTATAGGCAGGTGCTGGGGTGTACGTGCAGGTGCTGGGGTGTATATGCAGGTGCTGGGGTGTATATGCAGGTATACCTGAATGCAGAAGTTTGGTCTTGGGGCGAACCACGTGCTGGCGGTGAGCAGTGTGCATTCATTTCCTTTATTTAGATCGAATAGTATTTCACAGAAGACGCCAGAGGGACAGAGAAGAAACAAGTGGTTAGACAGTGGTCCAGCGAAGGTGACCAGTGGACCACTGATAGAAGATGATGGTGACCGGCTATCCAACTGCTTCAAATCCATCGGCAAATGAAAACGAGCCACGCTACGAGAACCACCAAAGTAACCGCCCAGTACACCCTGTATACACA